GGAGCCCTGCCGGCAGCCCCTGCACAGCGGCAGCAGCGAGCGCATCTCCTCCTCGTCGCGGAACGGGCTCTCTCCGAAGCGCTCCTCCAGCTGCCGGCGAAGCTGGGGTGGGGATGTAGGGGTTCGGTCGGTGCCAGGCAGTGGGCCCGGCCCCCTCCCCAACCCTGGGGCGAGCTCTGCACACCTCGCTAGGCCCCTCCCCTTCCCGAATGTCCTCTTAGCCCCCCTTCTGCGTTTCCATGCCCCTTACTGAGCCCCTCCCTCCCCCTGAACCCACTTTGCTTTGGGACACTCCGGCTTCCAGACCTGCCAGCGTGACCCTCCCCCCGCACAGCAACTCCACTCACACGGGGCCTCTTCTGTGCCTGCCTCTTCCCTAAAGCCTTGCAGATAAGCCTCTGGATGCCAGCCTGCCACCTGCTGGGAGCCTTCCTGCACTTGCTGCTTCTCTCTCTCTGTCTCTCTTCCCCGGTTGTCCCCCAAGCCTCAGTCCCTGATATCTCCATGTGCCATCTGCCCACTGGGCAGAAAAGGGAGTGCTCTGGCCTCATCAGGGATGCAGGGGGGAGTAGGTGGACATTTCTCTCCAAAGGGGCCCACACGCTCAAATGCCCTTCAGGTTCCAGGCAGGTAGAGCAGGTAGATCTGGGACCTGATCAAATGGGAGGGTCCAGAGTCTGGCCCAAAGGCATTCAAATTCTCAATGAAAAAGAAAACATCTATAGTATCCAAACAAAATACACCCAGGGGCTATATTAGCTCCAGGGCCATGAGTTTGAGGCCCTAGAAAAATCTGCCAGGTCTGAAGCAGAGGCTAAATTCTTTTTTTGTGTATTTTTTTTTGTTTGTTTTTGTTAATCCTCACCCGAGGATATTTTTTCCTTTGATTCCTAGAGAGAGTGGAAGGGAAGGGGGGAAGAGAGGGAGAGAGAGAGAGAAACATCGATGTGAGAGACACACATCGATTGGTTGCCTACCACATTCTCATCAAACCTACAACCCAGGTAACATGCCCTTGACCAGTAACCGGGCCCATGACCCTTCAATCCATGGGCTGGTGTTCTAACCACTGAGCAATGCTGCCAGGGTTCAATTCTTTCCAAGCAATGCTCAGCTCAAGTGGGAAGAGCCTCCCACCCTGCCCCAGCCCCTGCCCCAGTCCCTACCTTCCGGGAAGTACCCCAGCCAAACTCTTCAAGCTGCTGCCTAAAGCCTGGGTTGGGGTTAGCAATGGGCCGGGTGGACTTGATGGCTTCGAGCACTTCCCGCCAGCCTAGTCCCGTCACAGTCATCACATACGCTGTCACGATGGTGGTGCTTCGAGAGATGCCTGCAAAGCTGATTACCCAACCCCAAGCTTCAGGGAAGGCCCAGTCTTCTCTGTGGCCCCCAGACACCCCATCCCCACTTCCACTCTCCCACCTTGCCTCCTGAGCTCCAACCACAGGGAACCTACCAGGACCTATCTTCCCACCTCCAGGCCTTTGCCCATTCTGTTCCCTCGGCCTGGAGCATCCCCAGGTATTCCTCCCCATTAAAGTCCTGAGTGAAACATCATTTCATTCGTTCATTCAACAAACATTTACTGATCATCTGTTATTTTTCAGATACTGGGGATCCCGTGGGAAGTAAAACAGAGATGGTCTCTGTCATTCTGATACTTATAATCTGGTTGGGGGAGACAGACACTAAGCAGGGAAACAGTTCCGGGTGGTGACAATGAAGATGAGTCCGGGGGGCCAGGAGATGGTATAGGAAGAGACATTAATCTAGTGGGGGGATGGGGAGGATGAAGGAAGCTGTTCCCAGGGAAGTGACACCAAGCTGAGTCCTGAACAGTATGTAGGAAAGACCATGAGGTGGGACCTGGTGGGTTTGAAAAACAGGGAGATGGCCAGTGCACTTTGAGCAGGGGAAGGAGGGAGAGGGGCTGAGAGACAAGGCTGGAGGTAGCTGTTCCTGCGGCTGGGGCTCCAGCGTAGGGTTCGTGCTCAGTGAGAAGTTATGAAATGAGTGACATATACTGGGCTAGGGGCTCCTGGGAAGCCTTGGGGGTCCCGTCTCCCAGCCTGGGGTTCTCCACTACCCTGCACTACTATGGCCTCAAACGCCTGGAGGGGAGGGAGCCAGAACTATTGGCGGGTATTTGGTTACCTGCATGACCTCACCTGTCCCTCCCAAGAGCCCACCGTGTCAGCATTCTTTTCCCCATTTTACAGATGAGGAAATTGAGTCTCAGGGAGAAACAGCTATTTGGCCTTGGCCTCACAGCTGGTGAAGGACAGAGCCCTGACCTGAGCCCCCTTGCAGCTTCTATCAGCTGAACGGTGGATTGTCAGCCACTGTGACAAGTGGACAAGATCTGCCACACGTTCCTCCTTCCCCACTGGATGAGTGTGTGTCTGGGGTAGAGGACAGCCACCTACTTCCTTTCTCCCCACTCCCCCCTTAACTCACCAGTGCACAAGGCAGTTCCCCCCGTTGAGGCGGCAGCAGTGGATGAAGTTGATACATTCTTTGAAGTGCTTTTTGCTAGAGAAGAAAGCGATAGGGAGGGAGCACTGAGGGGGTGTCTCCCAGTTGTCCCCCTCCCCATTTATGGGATGGCAAGAGACAAAGAGCCTGGGGGTCCCTAGGTCAGCTTGTGCGTGCAGTGAGTAGGGGCCAATGCTGTCATTTGAGGTGGTGATGTGTGTGAAACAATAAAGAGAGGCGGTGGTCGTGGCAGGTCCCACTACAGAGGCCGGAGAACCTCCCAATGTGTCCTGGGCACCCTATTTCCACAGGGGAGGGGGCATCTTGATTTTTCAAGGAAATGGGTGGGAGGAGACACAGGGGGCCCCCTGCTCTGGGGGTCTGCAATCAAAGCATCGGGGACAGCGATGGTCTACAATGGGGCTGACAGTAAGATTCCAGAGGGGCAGGGTGCCTTGTCGGGGCCCCTCCCAGGCTGGAGGCACGGCTGCTAACATGAACAAAAATCCTGGGTTCTGAGCCCCCATTATACTCCAGGCCTCGTCCTGGATCCTCCGCCCCTGCCGCCTGATCTTGGAAAGCCTCCTTGATGCTGATCACACCCCCACTGTCCCTCTCAGAGAAGGGAAGTGACTTGTCCAAGGTCACACGGCAAGTAAATGGCAAAGCCTGGCCAGAATCCAGATATCTTAACTCCAAGGCCAGGAACCAGCTGAGCCTGACCTTGGCAGACCCGCTGGTGCAGCTGACCTTGCGGGACGGGGGACTTTCTCCAACTCACAGCAGCGGAGACTCAGCGCCGGAGGTTAATGGTCTCGGTCAGGGGCACAGACCAAGGCGCGGCTGAGACAGAGTCCAACTTGGGGCTGGGTGACCATCGGCGCTGGGGTCCTAGGGCAGCTTCCTGGTCTGAGTCCTCTCTTGTCCCCCTCACACCACTTCCCTTCCTCCCTCCCACCACCAGCGGAGGCAGCTGTCTGTCCATCTGTCGGTCCATCCCAGGGAACTTACATGGGTACCTCAGGGTTGTCGGCTACTGGGATGCGAAGGTAGGTTATGCCCTGAAAGTACAAAACACACACAGTCAGTGGGAGGGGGCTTGCTTGCACCCTCTTACCCCAGCCTGGGCCCCGCAAGCACCTCCTGACCCCAGACCAGTTCCTGCCCCTCTCTGGGCCACAGTTGTCCTGTCTGTTCAAAGAGGACCTCCCCGCTCTGACCATCTGTGATTCTAGAACCTTCTAAGAACTTGATAAAAAGGATCCAGGGGCCTTTCTTTTAGCCAGGAAAGGGCCACTTAGAGTGACTCCCCTCCAAATGAGGATTACAGGATTACATAGTAAGAAGGGCACCGCAGATTGTATTTTCTTGAAAAGAAACAAAAATTATGAAAGTGAGTTTACACTTCATGAATTGTAGTTATAAAATTTGTGCTAATTATTAAAATAATCAAGGAGTGAATTGTCACTAGTTTTTCCAACAAACTTGTTCCAACATCCCTCACTTCGTGCTTCACCTTCACACAAGTTCATAAAGATGATTTTTGCCCACATTCCAAGAACCTCATCACCTTTCTCAAGGACCTGTCTTAATCACTTGATATTCAAATGGTTCTTTTCGGGTGCCTGGCCCACCAATGGCCAGTGGCTAAGGGGCCCCAGCCAGATCTTCATTTGTTAGAGGCTTCATGTGAGAGCCCAGCCTTTCTCTAACTCACTTTCACCAAGGTCACTCAATCCTGCATCTTTTGCAAGGCTTGCAATTTCATTTGCAACACATTTGGCCTTGCATTTTCAGGGCATAATCAACCTCTGACTGGCAAATTCACTGATGGATGGAGCAGGAGAGCCGCTTGGGAGAAGAAGGGAGGGCTGTTGGAGCAGGGATTCATTTTACAAGCAGTCATTTCATTAGTAAATATATTCATGACTTCACAACCTTCCCCACTCAATCTAGTGACTGCGTACTCTAAGTACTTCAAAACAAGCCTGCACTATAAAGCAAAATCAGACTCCATTGACCTGAAAATTTCTTCTTTGAAGGACACTGAGGATCATAGATTATTGGATGTTGCTCTCAGAAATAATCAAATCAGACACACGGGGAAACGAAGGCCCAGAGAGGGGAAGGATCCTGCCTAAGGTCACACAGCAAATCTGTGACAGAACCTGGTCTGAATCTCAGATCTTCAGAGCCCTTTCCCACCCCCAGTTCTTTACCTCCATGGGTGACTGAGACTAACAGATAAGGAGGAAGGGTCTCTGTTCATGCGATGAGGATGATTAACTTTGTATTACACCAGCTGTAAATTGTTAAGCACCTATTGTGTGGCTTGCAACAATTCAGTGAGGTCAATATTCTCATAAAACCCTCTTTACAGATCAGGCAACTGAGGTTCAGAGCGGCAACATCCTGTACCCACGGTTACAGAGTGTAAGTGAAGGTGTGACCTCAGGCCTCCTGACTTCAGCACATGTGGTCGGATTGCCTGCTTTCCTCCTCTGGGTCAAAACACCCTCACCTCCTTTTCCCCAGGACTCGATAATACCAGCACCAACTGCTCCTGTGGGAGCCATGCTTTACAATGTGCAAGGCATCCTCACCATCCCATAGCCCATTTGCCCCCCTCACAACAGCCCCCTGGGGCAGATAGAGCTGAGGGATCAGAGGCCCAGGGAGGCAAAGCCACAGCACAGAGCTGTGGTCCCAAAACAAAGCATAGAGCCCAGAACCATCCATCTGGGGTCATCTATTCAGTTGGGCAATGGGAAGCCATGTGGGGGCCTTGTTATGGCTCAGTGGAGGCACCTGGAGCCAGATGGCCTGTGTTCAAATTCTAGCTCCTTAACTTCCTGCATGTGTGAATTTAGGCAAATTACTTTACCTCAGTTGGCAACCAGGGATGCTAATGTAAAAGAGGCCAATTTTCAACCAAATGAGATACATGGGTCAGGAAGGCAGTAAAGGACTGGCACATAGTAGGTACATGATAAATGGGCACGGGGGGCAGGGGGGTGGGCGGGTCTGAAGACCCTCCCTGATCTATGTGCAGCCCTGGGATAGGGGTAAGGAGTACCTGTATCAGAGGCTGAGGTGACTCATGAATGGAGATGATGTGAGTGATCTTATTTCGGCCCAGCTGATCCGGGTCTTTGGCATCTGAAAGAAACAGGAATCTTGAGCCGGTCTGGTAGGTGTGACTATGTGTTCCTGTGGCCAAGTGAGAGGCGACTCCCTGCCCAACTCTCCTTCTCACCTCACCCTCTCCAGCTTGGCGGACCCTCGGCCTGGTCCCGGCCCCTAGGCCACCTCCTACGCCTAGCATAACCAGTCCTGCCACACCCCTAGGCTTCAGTCTTGTCTCTGGGGTACCCCCCAAGTAATAGCCCGGCATCTCCCCCGCCTTCCCTGTGCTATTCTTTCCATCGCAAACACCCTTTCCTGGCATACCCTTGACCCAGTAATTCTACTTCTAGGAATCTTGTCTACAAAAGGGTTTGTTCACATGAAGTTTTGTGTGCAGAGGACGATGTTCTCTGCAGTGCTGCTTATAACAGTAAAAACATCAGAAATAGTTAGAAGTGGGAACAATCTAAATGTCCATCAAAGGGAGCTGGATAAAATATGGTATATTCACACTTGACTACTATGTAGATCTTTATGTGCTGATGTGCAAGGATGTCCATAATATATTATTAAATGGGAAATACAGGTGACAGAACAACATGCAGAATAAGTTTCCATTTTTGTTTTAAATCTAGTATCTGTATCGACAAAGAGATGAAAAATGACCTGGGGGCAGGCCCCACCTCCTGGGCTATCAGAGGTCATTTCTAGGGGCTGGATTGCCAGTATATACAGACCTTTTATAATCAAAGTATATGACACAGATCGCCTCTGTCTCCATTTGTCCGCATCCTCACCCAACACATTTACTGAGTGCTCACCAAGCGCAGTCTTGGCTTCTGCCCTCACGGGAATTCGGGCCTTATTTAGCCAAATACTCAGAAAGCAACGTGCATGTGCTGCTGAGGTGGCTCCAGGGAGGAAGGGATCAGGGCTTATGAGAGGGGGCACCTGAGCCCTTGGGGGACAGGGTGATGGGGAAGGCCCTATCCCAGTTCAGATGCCCCTCCCTCTCAGAAGCTTTCCCTGACTCTGCAGATGGAAGTGACTTTGCTCACCATGGGCCCCCCAAACCCGGGACCAGCCTGTCTCTTAGCACAGGCCCGGGGCAGGCAGAGTGCCAAGGCCTTGGGGCAGAGTGGGCAGTGCTGACCAGTGGAGTTTCTGAGGTAGAGTCCAGTCTCCAGGACTGCTCCTCCTCTGAGGAGGTTGGGGGGCCGGGGTGGGGGGAAGGGTCTCTAGCTTCCCAGCTAGAAGCAAACCTGCAAACAGACCTCACCCCAGCACCTATAGAGATGCTGGTCTGGTGCTGGGGGAGAGGCTAGGCTCCGAGCGGCTGCAGACTTGCCCAGCGCCCAGCATTCTGAGCCCTTTGCCCTGAGACACTTCCCCACCCGTGTACCTACCCCTCCGTCCTCGTGAGCTCTTCCCCCTCCCAGCCTGGCATCACTTCCCGGCCCCCAGCCCCATTCCTGAGCGCTTCCAAGGTGCGTGGGCCAGAGCGTGCATGACAGACGTGGGCCTGGGACAGGCAGAGTGCCATGGCCCGGGGCAGTGGGCAGTGCTCACCAATGAAGTTTCCGAGGTAGAGTCCAGGAAGTACCTGCAGGAGGGACAGGCAGGGTGAGCCGGCAGGGTCAGCGGGGAAGGGGAGCCTGCCCTTCCCACCCCTGCAGCTGGAGGCCGCAGCCGCTCTCCATCCCAGGAAGGCTGTCTGAACCTCAGGACAGAGGGGCCCTGTCCCTCTGGGGGCCTGGACCCTGTGAGAGGGGTTGGGGAGGCACCAGGGGGCACAAGGCAGGCTGCCTTGGGTGAGGGTGGGAGGAAAGCGGAGGGAGGGCACGAAGGCCAGGGGAGAGGGAAGGGGGAGGTGGACTTGCCAGGGAGGGAGTAGGAAGGCAGGAACAGGAGGAGGCAGAGAGTCCCGAGTCAGAGGAGAGAGAGAGAGAGAGAGAGAGAGAGAGAGAGAGAGAGTCTAGGAGTGGCTCCCTGACACAGAGAAACAGTCACAGAAACAGGCAGATACAGAGACACACGAGGAGACAGAGACAGGAGAGAGAGATACAGCCCCGGAGAGACACACGGCG